CCGACCCCTCAACACTTGTTTTATCCCAGTTCACTGTCACGTCTTAGTGCTTTTCCTCATAATGCTTTTGCTCTTGGAACACCTACGCTTTCCTTTTTAATCAGTGGAAATCATTCCCAGCTTTCATTCTCAGCTTTCTGAGTGGCTCACTTTGGGATTTTGCTCTACCCGTATCACATCAGTTGTATCACTACGCTTGTTCAAATGCCTGTCTTTGTCATTGGTGAAGGTGGGTGACTTACTTTTGTGGCCCTCATGATACCCATACTCCACTGTACAGGTGGGCACATTGAGAAAATGCTGACAATATCAGAATCATCTATGTTCCTTGTATATGATCTTCCCACACATGAAATACTGTAAGAATTTAAAGGGATATTTAAGTACCTGTACTCACTGAAGTTGTGATTTGTCCAGTGATTCGTAAAGCTTTTATTGCACTATTGAAGTCATATTTTTGAATTTTGACATATTCATATATTTATAATTTTTAGAGTAGCAGTGTCACATTTGGGTGATGTGTTTAGCATTCATTTTGCAGTTCCCAGTTTGACCTGTATGACTTTGTTAGTTATAGAAAGGGAGATGCTTTATGTAAGAAGTGCTCTTTAGCCTGCCAAAAATTCGAATAATTTCATTGGAATCATTTATCGACCACAGTTTCATAAAACAGTTATTTCATCATTTTTGCTGTGAGAATGCTGCACCTAAATCTCATAAAGTTATCATTTAAATTATTAAGGGGTTCAGCAGTTGGTGTTGTACAGAATACTTAGGGCTAACTAGAGTAAGATATGTGTCAAGTCATATGCCTAACATTCCTGATGGATTTCAATATGGGGTATTTAATTCATAAGAGCTGTGGCAGTAATGTGTAGCACTTAACAAGATTTATTGCACCTCTGTATTCGACATGGAAGCCTGCAGCATGGTGCCACAGATATTGATAGCAACGTTCATCAAATCTATTTCTATTTTAAAATCTAATAGGAAATACATCTTACCATTTAATATCACTGTATCACTTTGACTTAATTGGCTACATTAAGAAACTTGTATCTTCTGTTTATTTTTAAAAACTAAGCTAAACTCCATGTTTATGGGGAGGACAATTAAAAATGGAACCACATGTGTCTTTTAGAGGCATTGTATTTCCCACTTTATTCTGCTATTGTTGACTTTTATCCGGTTAATGTTATTGCTGTATTTTCCATATCAGGAAAATATGGTAGGAGGGAAACAACACACTATAGTAAGTAAAACATTAAACATAGGTCAGAACTTTTGACCATTTTTCCCCAGTGCAATTCATATTCTTAAATTGTATTAGAACTGTTTATATGCATGTATATGTCTTTGCGTATACATGCATACATACATATGGGTGTATTTATATATGAAAGTACATGAGATTTTCATTTGTCTCCAAGAGTGTGCACCTGGGTCGCCACTGCTGCCCTGGAAGCTCTGCCTACAGAGAAGTCGTCTTCCTCTCCTGCTCTTTTGAGATCTGCTCTTCCCACGTGTAGCAGCTGAACGCTGCTGTACAGCAGGTTGTACTCTAGGGTCTGGAGCCATCGCAGTGAACAAGGCATCTGAGACCTGTGCCCACAGAGAGTTTACATTCCATGGAGGGAAAGCAGCAAAGACAAACCAAAATGAGTGAAATAATTATGTATCATTTACCATATGTAAATAGAAAGCCAAGTAAGCAGAGTGGAGATGGCATTATGCAGACTTGAAAAAGATAGGGAAAAGAGACCACGCGTACGAGGAGGGTAGAATTCCTGATGGAGGAGACAGAGAGGAAAAAAATGTGAAGAGCTTGCCAGTAGGTTGAAAGCAGAGCAGAGAACAAGCATGACTAGAGGAGGGATAATGACAGGCACAGTCGTACCAGAAGTGCTATGTGTGGTGAAATATATTTGTTAAGGACCACTGGGCTCTTACAGTTTTGGGGAAGAAGTTTTAGGAGAGCCTACCTCAGGCAGCTTAGTGAAGTTACAGAATGGTAACAAGTGATCGTTCCATCTCAGTGACTTTATGACAAGCATGCATTCCTTACAGTGCACATACACCACTTAGCTCTGCCCCACAAGCGTCCCTCTTATATAAGTCCCAGGGAGAATCCTATGCTACGACATAGCAGTTCCTATGGCAGATGGAACAGGGGCACTATGGCCAACGACGTGTTGGCTTTGGAAGACTCTCTCCAGAAATGACACAAACACTCTGTGCTACTGTAGTGTTGTCCAGAGCACGCCATGTGATGAAACCTGGAATTAGTGGGCAGGGAAATATGATCATTGTCTAGAGAGGAGCAATGGCTATTTTTGAACATCGACACCATTTACCACAGGGCCATTGGAGAAATTGGGGTGCAGAAATGACACAATCTGACGTGGTGTTTTAAATGATTTCAGTGCTAAGACAAGACTGCTGTAGCAAGAGAAGACCAGAAAGGAAGAGACCAGCTGGCAGATTATTCCAGCAACTCAGGTGAAAGATGATGGCCTTGCCTAGGCTGTTAGGAGATGATGATAAGTGGATCAATTCCAGGTACAGACTGAAGGTAGAGACAACAGATTTATTATTGTGAGAGAGATGGAGGCTTTGGGAATACTGGAGCAAAGTTGAGTTTCCAGTAACTTGGATGGGGAAGTCAGTAGGTGGAGGAAGATTTGGGAAGAAGAAAATTAGGGACAAAATAAATTGAAGTATTTTTTGTTCACGAAGAAAAGTAGGTGGAAATCTGAGCCTGCTGTTCAACAAATGTTGCCTGCCCAGGGATAGGCCCTGGTTTAGGTGCTTGTGACAAATCTGTGAGTCAGAGAGAAAGCTCCCTGTCTTCATGTATCAGATATTGTAGTCCCTTTAAGGAGGCTGTCTTAGAACACTAACAAAATAAATGAGTAATTTTCATAAAAAGGCATATAGTGACTTGATACTTGGAAGGGCTTAAGTACAGCAGGTAAAAAAGGCATAAAAAATTTCAACTCACTGGATGTCTTGATGAGTTTACTTAGAGGAAGTTTCCAAAGATAGGTTGGTCTAACAACTCTAGGTGAAAGTAGGGAATGGCAGACTTTAGATTACTGGTTTACCCTGCATAATTTAAGGAGTGGCAAGACTTTTATTGATGTTGAAAGCTTTTCTTGAAAGGGCATGTAGGCCTAAAAAAAAGGCCAACCTTTAAAGTGGTGCACAAATTAGGAACAAAAATTTGAGTGTCAAATACAAGAAAATGACATCAAACCTGTCATTCTGTGCCTAATGTTTGTGTAAGCATACTTCCACTTATTCTTTTATCTGAACATCTAGAATTGTGTTCCCAGGATATTTAGTTAGTTAAGGGTCAAAGCACCATCATTTTCTTTGTGTGCAGGATGACTGTAAAATAATAGCTCTATGAATAAAGCAGTGTGAAATCTATATTTCCTTTCCATTGTGAAACCTCATCTTATTTATAGGGAATTGCTATAGGTGCAATTATGCTAAAAAAGGGTGTTTTAGATTAAGTAAATTGACCACATTGCCTTACTGTCTCCCAGATTTTTATTTCAAAAGTACTTTCTTCTTTGAATGTAACTCCAGTCAGAATGACTCAGTGTGGGTAATCTAGTTGCTCTATAATCATCATATATTTCAGTTTCATTACTGTTCCTGTAAGATAGCAAATATTTCAGTTTAAATCTCTTCAAGCTTTGGAAAGTCTTAATTTTTTGCACCTAATGGTTTATGGATATATAAGACGTGTCAATGTAAAATACTACCAGAGAAAACCACAATTCATTGATTACCAATTCCTAGTTACCTCTCTTTGCTTGCCATTACTGACTTACTAAGCTTAATTTAACTACTGCAATAGATTTATAAGTACGAGTATAGTTTATAAGTAATGAGTATAGATTAGGTCTCTAACTAGCACTCTGTGGATTAAAATGCATATTGAATATATTTAAAGCCTAAAGAAACTATTTGGGGAAAAAAGAGGGGTGGGCAGTAGAGGTGGAATCATAGAATTTATATTTGTGGAAAAATCAAAAGAACAGTCACATGTACTACTCTGCAAGTTGAAATATTGAAATTCTCTTTATGATTTGAGCAATTGTTTTTTGAGATTTTTTTCCTTTTAATTTAATAAATCAGAAAAATAGATGTTTGGAATGTCTGCTGTACTGTGATTCCTGCCATTCAAGACAAATCATTTAGTGCTTTCTATTGCTATCTAAGAGGACAGAGAGTTATATTGATGAGCTATAGTTTTAAAGAACTATTTTATTTATTTGAAAAGCAGAGTTTCAGAGAAAGGCAGAGAGAGAGGTCTTCCATCTGCTGGTTCACTCCCTAATTGGCCACAACAACCTGGGCTGGGCCAGGCCAAATTGAGGAGCCAAGAGCTTCTTCCAGGTCTCCCATGTGGCTGCAGGGTCCTGAGCATTTGGGGCATCTCCACTGATTTCCCAGGTGCATTAGCAGGAAGCTGGACGGGAAGTGGAGGAATTGGGACTTTTTACTCGCTAAATCATAGTGCCGGCCCCTGTTGGTCTACATTGTGTAGGAAATGAATGATAAGAAAAAAGTGTGTACATAGTCAATGCAGATGCAATTACAAAAAGCAACATTAATCAAAAAAATTATTTTCCCATTCCTGGTGGGTTGAACTGATGGATTTGAAGTCAAAGGACACAAGGGGCCGAGTCTATGTGTGAGTGCACTAATCATCACCTTTGTCATGACTTCTGCTTCTTTGCTGAACACTTATGAAAATAATTCACAGCATATTCTATAATATATAATCAAAAAGCACTTGGATTGGTTGTTTGGAAACTTTAATTGTCCATAAATGTAAAAGGATGCCAGAATTTAGCCCTAGTTATTAATGAAAGTCTGGGCAAGTCAGACTTCATAGCTCACCACAATTACTCATAAAGTCTCCCTACACTGGACCCCATCCAACATCACTCTCTCCTCCATCCCCACCTTCTGCTGCGTTCCAGGTGCTGTTCCTATGTGGGGCGAAGGGGAAATGGACCTCAGGCAATCTCCATTGGCAAGAACTGTGATAAATTTGGAATTGTTGTTCACGAGTTGGGTCATGTGATAGGCTTTTGGCACGAGCACACGCGGCCAGATCGAGATAACCATGTAACCATCATAAGAGAAAACATCCAGCCAGGTGAGAGACTTTCCAGGGTGTGTGTGGTTTAAGTCTGCGTAGATAGCATTGAATTATAGTTATGCCGTTCACCATTGCACATCTCATAAGAATGGAACTCTTGTTTTAAACTTGGTAGAAACCACGTTTCACTTGTTTAAAAATTACCTGTATTGTTTTCATACTTTTGCTCTTTTCCCTAGAGACTAAATCATCTCATGCATTTTTTTAGACTTTTTTTTTTTTGTTTCTTGCTTAAGATGTACCTCTATCATTTCTAAACTTCAGTGTTTTCAAGATTGGGTGTGAAATATTGAACCATAAATTCATATTAATTTTTAATTTAAGCATTTTTTGTACTTAGTTCTATCATTTAAAGCGTGGGGACTTATAAAAGGGCCGGGGGTTGCCATTAAATGTGCTGCTACTGTAGGGATTTTCATTTTATCAGGTATAATTTCTGGAGAAAAATCCAGTGTAAATGAGTCATTTCCAAGATAGTCTAGATGGTGTATTTGAGGTTTTCCTCTTAAATGTGACTGCCCTAGATTCAAATTCTTTGAGACTGTTTTTAATAGTTGAAATGAAATTTATGATTAATCCAGTTTTCTCTAACAATGGTGTGTGATAATAACCTCCTTAGAGAGCTTTGGATTGGTTTAACTTTACCTTTCATAAGATGGGTGCATTTCAGTTGCCCCCAAAAAAGAAAATTTCCCATTGTGAATGGTTTTCTCATGGTATGCGTGACTTGCCTAAGCAAAATGAATTCTTAGCTTCCTTATTCATGTCCAGTTGTAATTTACAAACACACTGAATTCCTTCGAATTGTCTTCCGTTAATAGCATTGATCTTTCTATTTGCTTATTGAGTATTGGATGCCAGCTGTTTGTGGAGGTGCTGTTTGGGATTGGAGATGGTGTCTAAGGTGTAGGCATAGAGGCAGATGACCAGGAGTGAGTGAGAAAACTAACAAGAGGCTTAAGTTGAGATTAATGTGTCGTCCAGGCAACATGTGAAAACCTGCATCTTGGCGCCTCCAGAGAGATGCCACAGAATGGCTGAGATTTATAGGTCAAGTAGAAATGTCCAAGTTGAATAGAAGAGTGAGGAGATATCCATGCTGAAAGAACACGAGCATCAAAGCTACAGTTATGGAAAATCAAACCCTTTCCTCCTGTCTAGTACGGCTGCATGGGAAGTCAAAGTGGAGTGTTTAGTTGGTAATGACTGAGGTTGGGTGGGTGATCCAGAAAGCATCCTCTGAGTACTGACGAGGAACTGAAGGATCGTACAGGGAGCACGTTCAGAATAAACAACAGGAACTCTGTTGGCTGGAGGAAGCATTATGGGGCTGGTGAGGGTGAAGTCGGGGAAACCTGTGAGAAGCCTTAGTCGCGTGGGGGAGGTGGATGCCCTTTGTGTTCTAGTACAGGGCAAGATGAGCGAGAGGAACTCCTACTTCAGAAATATTTAAGAGGAACAACATCGCGTGAGGGAAATCTTCGGAAGTTCGTTCTTAGGCCCCAAGAAGAAGGGTGAAACTATCAGATGAAACAAGAAATACTGATAGAGCAGCATGTTTTTGAGGAAGAGAAAGACAAACAGTGATTTCATTTAGCATTTTTTTTTTTTAATTTGAGAAGCCCTTGGATGATGATGGTTTAGTAGACAAAGAGAAGGTGAATGAGGACCTCGGCAGGTGTCTAGCAATACAAATGTGGTCGGGAGTTGCCTATTTAGGAAGATACTGGAATGAGAAGAAAGAAATTGAGGGGCCAGCACTGTGGTGTAGTGGGTAAAGCTGCTGCCTGCAGTGCCGGCATCCGATATGGGCACTGGTTTGAATCCTGGCTGCTCCACTTCTGATCCAGCTCTCTGCTATGGCCTGGGAAAGCAGTAGAAGATGGCCTAAGAGCTTGGGCCCTTACACCCGTGTGGGAGACCCTGAAGAAGCTCCTGGCTCCTGGCTTCGGATCAGCCCAGTTCTGGCCTTTGTGGCCATTTGGGGAGTAAACCAGCAGCTGGAAGACCTCTCTGTCTGTCTGTCTGTCTCTCTCTCTCTCTCTCTGTCTTCTCCGCCTCTCTGTAACTGACTTTCAAGCAAAACAAATTCATCTTTTAAAAGAAATTGAGGATACAAAATAGAGAACAATGGTATTTAAGCAGAATTTGGAGAATTTGGTGGACTATTTACCAAAAGGGTAAGAATGTTATCTCAAAAATAAGAGAGACAGAGATAGAGGGAGGAAGGAAGTGTTACTGTATTATCAGAATTGTGTCTGTGAACTACATGAGCCCATTCTCTATTAGTGTCACATTAAAACGAGAATTGGTGAGTAGAAAGAAAGTGAGAGAAAACTCAGTGGAATATGATAGCCGTTGCAAAAGGGCGAATCCTTTCAGAACGGTGAAGTAACCTGCAGAATTGGGTATGGAAGGTAAGTAAGAAAAAGAATGAGACTCCTTAGCTGAGAATCTGACGCCTGAGCCAAACAGCCAGGTTCATCTTATATTTTTCATCATTAAGAAGGAAGTAAAGAGGAAACAGTATTTTTGAAAATTGTCTCAGCTACCAAGTCAATGAGAAGTTTGTTGTTAAGCAGGTGTTAGTTTTCCTGTATTTGCCAAACATTTTGTTATATTGACAAAAAAAAAAAAAGCTCATAATGAATGTAATGAAAAAATGGTTCTTACATTGATTCAATATAAATATGTATCCAAATAGAGGAAGAGATGTACATGGTACTTCAGAGTGTCCACTGAAGGATGTTTACTGGGGCCTGTGTTGTGGTGTAGTGGTAAAGGTGCCAGCAGTGCCAGCATCCCATATGGGTGCTGGATTGAGTCCCGGCTGCTCCACTTCCAATCCAGCTCCCTGCTAATGTGCCTGGAAAAACAGTGGAAGACAGCCCAGGTCCTTGGGCCCCGGCACCCCTGTGGGATACCCAGATACCCAGAAAAAGCTCCTGGCTCCTGGTCTAGCGCTGACTGTTGCAGCCATTTATAGAGTGAACCAGTAAATGAAAGACCTTTCTTTGCTTCTCTCTCTCTTTATCTATCTCTGTAACTCTGCCTTTCAAATAAATAAATAAATCTTAAGAAAAAAAAGATAGGTTTCTTCTGGTGCCCAAAATGTTACAATCTATGCATAGTTCTTGTATAACATGCATTCTTCATGAAGTTATTTTGAAGATCCCTCATGTACATGGATTTCAGTTTTTTGGTACCAAAATAAACACATATTTCAATTCTATTTTCTATGAACTTTTTGAAGTACCCTAGTATAAGTAGTATAAATAAATTTATAATACTTAACACAATGCTAGAAAAATTATGACTCTTACTAGGTTTTTGACTAAACATTCTGGCTAACAGAAAAAAAAATTACTGTGTGAGATTTCCTGTAATTGGAACCATGATCAGCAATTCCAGTATAAAAGCGTTCATGTTGGAGACTGATCTTCAACAAATTTATGACTTGCTGTGACTCAGAAACTTAAAATCAAATGTTATTCAAGTAGAGTATCCAATAAGCAAAAACTTTGGCTTCAAATTTATATGCACAAGAGATGACTATGAGAGTACTAAATTGGTATGATAATTAGATTTATTTTAATTTGCATCAGAATGTGCATATAAAGAGGGATGTCTTTAAAATTTTTGAATTATTAAGTATAGTTTTCCATGTTGCTCTGTATCTCTGACTTTCTCCTTTCCTTCATGACGTAGGTCTAAGTTTCTCTTATTTGGACTGTGTAGGCCCATGTCCTTTTTAACTAGCAGGAAAAAAAAGCCTCATGTACGTGTTAAGTGCTCAGTTATGGGCTTGGAATGTGCAACTATTGCTATAGTTACTGAATGTTCTACTTTCAAAAATTTTGTGAAGCATTTCTTGTTGATCAGAGAGCCTTTTTCCATATTGTGCTCTATACTGAAATCTTGAAAGTTTATAATTATAAAATCAGATCCACAGCGCTTTAAAATTTCCACCTTATAATTGGATATGTTAAAAAAAAGGTTCAAATTCTATGGAGATCACAGTTGTAACAATTGTTCCTCTCAGGGTTGGGGCGAGAGCAGCGTATTCCCTAAGAATGGTTTTAACACACGAAGACATATCGGAGGTTTGAGGAGCACACATTTCAGTTTACAGGCTGGCTGGTGAAGTCAGAATCATTTACCATGTGAAATTATTCAGATATGGTTTAAAATACATTACACTGAGAGGCAGGCTCTGTAACTACAGCTTGAGTCTCTAACCTTTAGTGTTCAAATGCATGTTCCCAGGCTTCCCTATCACAGGGAGGAGAGACCTTGTATTCTAGGACATCACTCCATTTCTTTAGTACCTTTTGGAAAACTATTAATGTGATATTATTTAATACAAATATTGAAGTTAGAATGCTCAATCAAATGAGCGATGTAACAGTCCCCTTTTGAGATCCAGGCATTCCAATAGTTCACTTTTATACTTTCTCAAAGCTCTTTAGGTTACATAAATAGTATGTCATGCACCATCTTTTGCTGTTTATTTTTTATTTTTTTAAATACATATTTCTAGCTCTAAAGTCATATTGATTTTTTAAAAATATTTATTTATTTATTTATTTGAAAGGCAGAGTTACAGAGAGAGAGAGAGAGAGAGAGGGAGAGGGAGAGAGAGGTGTTCAGTCCACTGGGTCACTTCCCAGATGGCCACAGCAGACAGAGCTGGGCTGATCTGAAGCCAGGGAGCAGGAGCTTCTTCCAGGTCTCCCACGTGGGTGCAGGGGCCCAAGGACCTGAGCCATCCTTTACTGCTTTCCCAGGCCATAGCAGAGAGCTGGATCGCAAGTGGAGCAGCCAGACTCAAACTGGCGCCCATTTGAAATGCCAGTACAGCAGGCGGCGGCTTTACCCACTATGCCACAGCATCAGCTCCTTTGGCTGTTGAAACTGCAGAAATTGAGTCATTGAAATCTGAAGTCAACAAGAAGCAATTCTTTGTTCTAGAACCATCAATGTAGATTCATATATTTATCTCTCTTTTTTTTTTCAGTTTTCAAGAAATAATACTGCTTGGCAGATACAAACAGGCAGTTGAAAAAAATCTGTTAAAAATGAAGTTAAAATAACATGTGAAAAGTAAAACAAAAACTCCCTTAGTTCTTATTCGTATTCTTTTTTTATATATAAAGATTTACTTATTTACTTGAAAGTGAGAGTTACACAGAGAGAGACGGAGAAGCAGAGAGAGAAGTCTTTTTTTTTTTTTTTGACAGAGTTATAGATAGTGAGAGAGAGAGACAGAGAGAAAGGTCTTCCTTCCATTGGTTAACCCCCCCCAAATGACCGCTACGGCCAGCACTGCATTGATCCGAAGCCAGGAGCCAGGTGCTTCTTCCTGGTCTCCCATGGGGTGCAGGGCCCAAGCACTTGGGCCATCCTCCACTGCCTTCCCGGCCACAGCAGAGAGCTGGACTGGAAGAGGAGCAACCGGGACAGAATCCCGCACCCAAATGGGATGCTTATGCCGCAGACGGGAGGATTAGCCTAGTGAGCCACACACCAGCCCCCAAGAGAAGTCTTCCATCCACTAGTTCACTCCCAAACTGGCTGCAATGGCCATAGCTGTGCTGATCTGAAGCCAGGAGCCAGGAGCTTCTTCCAGGTCTCCCACACGAGTACAGGGGCCCAGGCACTTGGGCCATCTTCTACTGCTTTCCCAGGCCACCACAGAGAGAGCTGGATTGGGAGAAGAGCAGCCAGGACTCGAACCAGCACCCATATAGAATGCCAGCACTTCAGGCAGCGGCTTTACCTGCTACACCACAGCGACAGTCCCCTGTCATATTCTTCTGGATCAAAAAAGTCTTTCCAAATAGAAATGTCTTTTCATAAAAGACAGCCTTGTTTCATTTTTGAATGAAAGTAGATTTCCGGTTGTTTTATCTTTAATGTTGAAGTCACATTGCTAAACCAAGCAGTTAGTCTAATATATACTAATATTGTTCCTACACCTTTTCACAGTGTTTCATAGAAAGGATCTAAAATTCCAAAGCAAGAAGAAGATAATTTTTATGGGCCCTGGCAAGTACAGTCATAAGAGAAAAGTGACATTCATTGGATAAAAATCCAACTCTTATTATGATTTGTACAGTATCTCAAAAAGCAGCAAGATTTTAAAGAAATGAATATTGTGAGGTAGTAAAAGAGCATACATCAAAAACATACAAAGTTTGGTTTTGTCAGTGTTTTTGCCGAGATAGTCATTAACCCATTCTTTCAGTAGGAGCTCGAGTGAAAACCTCTGCCCTTGGCACATGCGCCCGGCTGAGAGTGTAAGTGGAGCCAGCAAGGAGACGGGTCATTTAATGAAGAGCAGATGCGAGTCGAGGGAGGGCTGTGGTGCTCTCCCCTCTTCCAGGCTTCTGAGATTCTGTTTGTCCCTGATCCTTAGGTCAAGAGTACAATTTTCTGAAGATGGAACCCGGTGAAGTGAACTCACTTGGGGAAAGATACGACTTTGACAGCATCATGCACTATGCCAGGAACACCTTCTCAAGGTTGGACTCTCAGGTTATACCTTTTGACTTTTAATTCCTTCCCTCCATGTAGCTCCTCTCAAAGCTATGTTTCACATTAGAATGAGAATACCTTTCAAATGTTGCTGCTCTATGGCAGAAATAAACCAAGCAAAATAAATAAAAAATCATGGTTAAGAATATAGCCAACAACAGACATTTTAATGACATATTACAACACATTTTTGCCTTTCCTATCAAATATATACATTTGAAGTGATAGGATATTATCAAGGATTTAAAGTATATTTTAATTATTTTAAAAATGTCAATTAAAATCATGACCAAACCAGTCCGCGTATTAAACTGCCAAAGTGTAGTGTAGTGAAAAGTCAAATGGTTTACTTGGTTGCTGCGTTGGAATGTCACACTCTGCATGCAACTCCGGTTGGATACTGTGCATTTTCAGTGGCTCGAGTACCACCAATGCTCAAGAAAGACTATTACTCAATGAATTCTAAGACAACAGTTAAGAAGATATTTTTCTTCATATAGTTTTCAGTTATCGTTCATTAATTATTAACCTTAGGATTCTTTCATTAACTGAATACTCTTTTTAAAGAGTGAAATAAACTTGGGTTTTGATCCACTTCATTCTAAAGATGATGGCATCCAGGAAATAGTTGCCAGGTAAGGAATTCGGAGCTGTAAAACCACTGAACTCACCCATTCCCTTGGCACACTCAGGCTCATTTTACCCTCCTACATCCATTTCTATTCACTCTTTTGCCCAGTTACATCCATCTCACAGTTCATTAACAACTGTTTATGAAGGCAGGCTCAGGAAGGAAAGAAAACGTCAAATGTGTTCAATAAAAGATTTTTGGCAAAAAGGAGAGAAGGATGTGTTAATGAGCCCTTTGTACTTGGACGCATTTTAGAATCATTCTTTTATAAAAACCCAAACTTTGAAAAAAAAAAAAGTGAGGGTTGACTGTGCAGTGTATGTTGAAAACTTCATGGAAACTGGAATTAAAAGATAAGTTTGTTTTGTTGTAAGGACATTTTAAAATTCATATATAGTTTTTTCACAATATGCATTTTCCGTGAACTTTATGAAACCCTTTTATTTTGAAAACCATTCTCCTCTGAAGTATATGTTTCACATATATATATACACATAAATATGTATGTATATGTATATATGCATGTGCATGCATATATAATATATGCATGTATATATATCTTTGTTAAAATATAATAACTATCCCCATGCTTATTGTTCCTGGAATTTGAATTTAGGATTTGGTAAAAATGACAGTCAGAAATTTAGCCTGCAATTATTCTTAAAGAATAATAAATTTTTTAGTTTCAGACCAATGTTTGGAAGGGAGTTTTCCATAGAGATGTGAAAGAAATGAACATTTGGTCCAAGTTTAGACAAGACTGCTCTCTTATGCTGCTGAATTCAGTTACTTAGAATTAACCTGAGGTTTGATTATTTGGAAGACAGGAAGTAGCAAAGAGTGCAGAAAATAATGAACGCTTCCTGTTCTTCAGAAATGCTGAGTCTTTCCTGAACTTGGAACTTGTCTGCTTTGCCTTTCCGCCTGGCTGTTTTCTCCATATACCACTCTTCTCATGCTGCCTGCTGCTGTCTCCTCCATCATCTGCCTTTGTGTTGTGTGCCAACCAGCTTTGACTTTTTTTGTAAGATTTATTTATTTATTTGCAAGTCAGAGTTACACAGAGGAGAGGCAGAGAGAGAGAGAGAGAGAGAGAGAGAGAGAGAGAGAGACATTGAGATTGGTCTTCCATATGCTGGTTCACTCCCCAATTGGCTGCAATGGCTGCAAAGCCTGGAGCCAGAAAGCCTGGAGCCAGGAGCTTCTTCCAGCCCAAGGACTTGGGTCATCCTCCACTGCCTTCCCAGGCCATAGCAGAGAGCTGGATCGCAAGTGGAGCAGCCGGGACTTGAACTGGCACCCATATGGGATGCTGGCACTTCGGGGCAGGGTGTTGACCTGCTGCGCCACAGCACCGGCCCCCAGTCTTGACTTTTTATTCGATCAAATTGATTCAAAGTTATGCTACTCATTTTTTCATAAATAAACAGATTTCTGTAGTTCAAAAGACCTTATAGTAGGAAAGATAATATCTGATTGATCCTCACTCATATTATTTTATAAACTGGAGTCTTTAAAGTGGGTGTTTGGGGACCAGCGCTGTGACGTTGTAGGCTAAGCCTCCACCTGCAGTGCTGACATCCCGCATGGGTACCAGTTGGGTCCCGGTTGCTCCATTTCTGATCCAGCTTTTTGCTAATGGCCTGGGAAAGCAGTGGAAGATGGCCCACATGCTTGGGCCCCTACACCCACATGGGAGACTCGGAAGAAGCTCCTGGCTCCTGGCTTCAGATCAGCCTAGCTCCGGCCATTGCAGCCATTTGAGGCATGACCCAGTGGACGGAAGATTCCTCTCTCTCTGTCACTACCTTTCTCTCTATGTAACCCTGCCTCTCAATTCAATAAATAAATCTTCCAAAAAGAGAGGCTGCTTATTGACATATGTAATTGATTTCAGGTAATGAAGCATTTGTCACAGTTCTCAGTCCTTCCTCCACATAATAAAACCTTATGATTTTAAACCTTTAAAAATATTTATTTATTTGTAAGGCAGAAAGAAAAAGAGGGAAAAAAAAATCCTTCCACTGGTCACTGCCCCAGGGCTGGAATTGGGCTGGGAGTGAAACCGGAAACTTGTCAATCCAGGTCTGCGGGAGTGGCAGAAACTCCGTTCCTAGAGCCATCACCACTGCCTACTAGGATCTGCTTTAGCAAAAAGCCTAAGTCAGAAACCAGACCTGGAAATCAAATCAGTCACTCTGATGTGGGAGGTAGGCACCTTAACCACTAGACAAACACCAGCTCCTCCTTGGCCATTTTTACGTATAGAGTTTAAAGTGTTAAGTATATTCACAGTTGTGAAACATTTCTAGAACACTTTCGTCTGCAAACTTGAAGCCCTGGTACTCATTAAACAGCAACTTCCCATTCTCTCTCTCCAGCACCTGGCAATCACCAGTCTGCTTTTTGCTTCTGTGGACTTCATTACCTTAGATACCTTGTATAATTGGAACCATACAGAGTGTGTCCTTTTGTGACTTGCTTATTTCCCTTAGCATTATTTCCTCTAAGTTCATCCATACTGTAGCATACGACAACATTTTCCTCTATAATAATGATGACTAATACTTGATTGTATAATCACATTTTATGTATGCCTTTGTCCATCAACAGACATTTGAGTTATTACCACTCGTTGACAACTGTGAATAGTGCTGCTGTGGGACATGTGTGTGTAACTATTCCTCAGAGATCCTTCTTTCTATTCTTTAGCACTATCTAAGCTGACATGAGATGCTGGTTCATGTAGTAGTTCTTATTTGAAAGGCAGAGAGAGAGAGAGAGAGAGAGAGAGCAAGTGCTCTATCTTGCAACCACTGGTTCATTTCCTAGGTGGCTGCAGAGGCCAGAGCTGGTCCAGGCCAAAACCAGGAGCCTAGAACTCCATCCAGGTCTCCCACATGGGTTCAGGGGCCGGAGGACTTAGGCTGTCTTTTGCTGCTCTCCCAAGCGCATCAATAGGCAGCTGAATTTGAAGTGAGGCCACCAGGATCCGAACTGACACCCATGTGGGATATTGGCATCGCAGGCAGTGGCTTAACCCACTGTGCACATTGCTGACCCCAGTGGCATTTCTACTTTTAATTCTTCAGGAACTTGCACACTTTTCTCATGGTGGTTGCACCATTTAACATCCTGCTAACGGTTTATAAGTTCTAGCTTTCTCTATGTCCTCACCAACACTTGTTTTCCTTTGTTTTGATAATTTCCATCACAAGATTTATTTATTCATTTGAAAGTCAGAATGACCGGAGAGAGTGAGAGACAGAGAAGAGAGAGATCTTCTATCTGTAAGTTCAGTCCTCAAGTGACTGAAACAGCAAGAGGTTGGCCAGGCAGATGCAAGGGCCTAAGAAAGCCATCTGGATTTCCCATGTAGGTGGCGGGAACCCAAGTACTTGGGCCATCATCTTCTGCTTTCCAGGTGCACTAGCAGGGGGCTGGATTGGAAGCAGAGTAGCTGGGACTTGAACCAGGCATTCCAAGTGGCGACTTAACTTCCCATGCCATAATGACTGCCCCACATTTTGGTTTAGATTGACATTTTTGTGATCATTGATGCGCATCTTGTATTGATTAGCTGAACATGTTTTCAGATGCATGGCGGTCACTTGTGTGTCATTTTTGGAGAAATGATTACTCAAGTCCTTTGCCCAGTTGTTACTCAGGCTACTTGATTTGTTGTTGAGCTGTGAGAGTTCTTTGTGTATTCTGGCTCTTAACCACTTAATCTGATATATGATTTGCAAATATTTTCTGCCATTCCGCAGGTTACGTTTTCACTCTGGCGATTTTGTCCTATATGACCAAAATCTGTTAAGTTTTATTTCATCGTGTGTGGCTCTCTTTTTAAATATACTGTTGCCTTTTGATGTCATATCCAATAAATCATGACAGCCATGAAGCTTTCCCCTTATTTTTCCTTCTGGGAATTTATAGTTCAGGGTCTTATGTTTAGATCTGTAGTTGACTTTGAGTTAATACTTTTACATAGTATAATGGTGCAAATTCATTTCTTCTTCTTTTTTTTGGCTGTGGATGTTCAGTTTTTTGTCATCATTTGTAGAAAAGGCTGCCTTTTGGAATCCTTCTTGAAGAGAATTTGATTATATACATTAGTTTTTTTTGGGGGGGGTTCTCTACTTTATTTCATTGGTCTAGAGGTTTATCTTTATGCCAGTGCCATAATATGTTGATTACTGTAGCTTTGTAATATATTTTTGCTGGGGCTCTGGCATCCCATATAGGCACTGGTTTGTGTCCCAACCACACCTCTTCCGATCCAGCTCTCTGCTAATGGCTTGGGAGAGCAGTGGAAGATGGCCCAAGTGCTCAGCCACATGGAAGACCCAGAAGAAGCTCCTGGCTCCTGGTTTCAGATAGGCCCAGCTCTTGCCATTGCAGCCATGTGGGGTGTAAACCAACAGATGGAAGATCTCTCTGTCTCTCCCTCTGTCTGAAGCTCTACCTCAAATAAAATAATACAAAAAGACAATGTTGGAATTTTAATAGGGATTGTATTGAATCTATAGATTTATTTGAGTAATATTAAGAGCTTACTATTTAATTTTAAATCCAGGATCACAGGACCTTTCCACTTACTTATCACTTTAATTTCTTTCAGCAATGTTGTTTTAGTTTTCACTGTCCAAGTCTTTCGTTTCTTTGGTTGGGTTTACTTCTAAGTATTTGTACAATTTTTTGTCTTGATTTCCTTTATGGGTAACTCACTGTTGGCGTGTAGAAAGATAACTGGTTTTGTGTTTTGATTTTGCTAAATTCACATATTAGTTCTAACAGTTTTTTGTGGAGCATTTAGGGTGTTCTGTGTAAGACCATATCATCTGCAGATAGAGGTAATGTCTCCTACTTCCTTAATTTTAATTCTTCTTCTTCCTCTTCTTCTCCTCCTCCTCCTTCTCCTTAGTCTTCCTCTTCTTCTTCTTCTCTTCCTCCTCCTCCTCTTTAGTCCTCCTCTTCTTCCTTTTTCTCTACTTCCTTCTTCTCTACTTCCTTCCCCTCTCTCTCACCTTCTTGTTCCCCCTCCTCCTCCCGTCTTCTACCTTCTTTCCTAATTACTGTGGTCACAACATCCAGTACCAGGTTAAACAGAAGGGCTGAGAACAGGCATCCTTTGTTACTGCTCTTAGAGGAAAAGCTTTGTTTTTCACCACTGAATATGATGATAACCGTGGACTTTTCTTTTTTTTAATAAGATTTATTTATTTATTTGAAAGTCAGAGTTACACAGAGAGAGAAGGAGAGGTAGAGGTCTTCCAATCACTGGTTCACTCCCCAGCTGGCTGTAATGGCCAGAGCTGCGCCAGTCTGAAGCCAGGAGCCAGGAACTTCTTCCCGGTCTCCCACATGGGTGTAGGGGCCCAAGGACTTGGGCCATCTTCTACTACTTTACCAGGCCACAGCAGAGAGCTGGATCAGAAGTGGAGCAGCCAGGACTCGAACTGGCGCCCACATGGGATGCTGGCACGGCAGGCATTACCTGCTAAGCCACAGCGCCGGCCTCAGTTGTGGGCTTTTCATTTGTGACCTTCATTATTTTGAGGTAGTTTCTTTCACTTTCTGGTTTGTTGAGTATGAATCAGGGAAGCGTCTTGAATCTTGTCAAATGCTTTCTCTACACTAGTGAGAGGTTTTATAGTTCTTCTGTTCTGAACTCATGGAGTCTACAATGTTCCAGTTGTTTCTGTGAGTGTAACCCATGGAATAGGTTTAGGAAATCATGGTGAGAAGTCTTGGCCTATGAGGCCTTCAAATGCATAGATATTCTGTAAGGTAAATTCATGCAAACTGATAACTTTTTCATTAAAACAAAGAAAAGTTGTAAAATTTTACAAAGTTTCTTAAAAGAATAGCTCATTTGCCATTTTTACACAATTAAAATAAATGAAGAATGGCTATTAGAAAGGAACCTCAGTATGATTTGCCTCTGGCCTATTGATAACACCTCCCTTGCTCAATGGCCATGTCTTGGACAAACAGAATTGTTAACTTCCTGACCATAAAGAAAGTACAAGAATGGGTGATTGGTCCCCTTTAGAATGTAAGAAAGGATACCTCGGTATATAGAATAAGTCAAAATTCATTATTCTACTGGCCAAGGTAGCATATATCCACTCCAAAATGCATTAACTTTTTTTAAATATTGAACCTCCTGAAAGCTTAAAAAGTGAAACTCGTCAAAGAGTGCCCATTTATTTTTGAAAATAGAAAATAGTCAATACTTTGCTTAGTACTGGAGGACTGCAGAAATTGTAACACTCCATCAATTTCCGTTTTCCTACTTAATGTTTCTGTTGATTCATGCGGTGCCATTGAGAGATGGCTTTTCTCAATGCTACCTTATAACTCAGCTTCCCTTTCCAATTACATGGGGCCTCCCGAAGTTGCATCTTAGTGTGAGCTCTTGCTTTTGATGGTCAGTTCCCATAAATCATTAGTCTCTACTTGTCTGCCCTTGTCTCGGGCAGTATATAGATGGAGTTCTATAAGTGCTTAGATCTGGCTTTAAAGAGTTGCCGCCTTGGGATTTGAGATGGCCAGGTTGTATATCACCACTCCTTTGCTTACCTAAAAGCTATAAGTCATAAGTTAACCATGTCATTCTGTTTGCCATCTTCCTATAAATTAGTAGTTGTTGTCCTCCAGGTAAACACATTATCTAGCTGGTGCTCAAAGATTTCAGAAGTCCTTGCATCTCTAAATGGTTCTTTCTGGGGACTCTCTACTGGTAGGTAGCCATAAGACTTGCTGTGCAGCCGATACCCACCTTCTGTCCTTTATTTTTTCCACAGTGCTGATCTGATCACTACCCAAGTTATTGGTCTTTCATTTTAATGTCTTTCTCCCCACATTAGGATATTAAAATCAGAAAGAGTAGTATTTTTGTTAGTCTGTTCACTGCTATAAATCCAAACCTAGAACAGTGCTGAACGAATGTTTCCTAAAGGGGAGGACTAAGCAGAGCTTAAAGTGTTATTCTTTAACCTGCAGTATAAATGTGTGATATTGTAAATATTGAAAAGGCATGTCCCATCACTCATCTCCATTTAAAAGATATCTTACGCGATGGGCATTTCTTCTGGATGTTAAGATACCCGTTATGATGCTACGTCCCACATCAAAGAATCAGGGTTCACTTTCGAGGTCAGAGTCTGATTCCAGCTTCCAAATTATTTGCACTTTGAGAGGCAGCAGTGGTAGCCAAATTGATTTGATTGCTGTAACTCACATGGGAGACTTAAGTTGGTTTTCTAGCTCCCAGTTCCAGCCCCCAAGTTTCAGGCATTTGAGGATTGAACCTGAGGATGAGAACTTTCTTTGTCTTTCTCTTTGTCTCTTTGCCTCTCAGAAAAATAAATGAGAATTTTTTTTTAAAAAAGACATCTTACAAGGTCATTTCTGTTTTTTTTAAGATTATATTTATTTACTTGAGAGGTAGAGTTATAGACAGAGAGAGGGAGAGAGAAAAGACAGAGAGAAAAGTCTTCCATCTGCTGGTTCACTCCCCAAGTGGCCACAATGGCCAGAGCTGGGCCAATCCAAAGCCAGGAGCCAGGAGTTTCTTCCGATCTCTCATGTGGGTGCAGGGACCCAAAGACTTGGGCCATCCTCCACTGCTTTCTCAGGCCATTAGCAGAGAACTGGATTGGAACAGTAACACTGGGACACATACCAGTGCCCATATGGGTGCCCATTGCAGGCATTGGTGCTAAGGTTATTTCTTAATTTAAAATATCTTTGTGGAAAATTTCCTTCTTTATTTTCTGAAAAACAATTTTTGTTTTTTAAAAATCCACACAGGCAAACTCCCTCCTTCTCAACCTGTTGTAATAGTTTCACAGTTCATTGTATTTTTAACCTAAGCACTTCCTTTAGAGTTATAAATGTTTGATACGTATTGCAAAATTAGAATGTATCTTTAGTGTACTATATTAAGAATTTTAACTCATACATAGTAGGAAAAGTAGTAATTCTTCTACTAAAACTTTGAGTCAAAAGCAACTCAATATCTTTAGCTTAGAATCAATGGGGCACTGATTAGGATTTTTTGCTAAGCAATTTTGCCATGAAACATTGAAAATGATACATAATACTTTTTTTTTTGCACTGTTCTGTCTACATTTTGACATTGTTTTTCCTTCTTTTTTAACATACGTTATAGCATTTAGACTTGTAAGAAATCTTAAATGCATAGATAGTTAAATTAGAATTTAATTCAAAGAATATTAAGGTGTATTTTGTTTGACTCTTTGAATTTTAGTAATTGCAGAAGTCTTGATTGTATATATTGTATATATATCATGAGGAAGAATTGTTTTACAATCTGACAATCTAAGGGATTCTTAGATCTGTTTGGGAGACAAAAACAGAGCCATGGTGTACTTGGTGGGAGACTATAAACTATTCCATGAATTTATAAACACATAATACAGTTTTCTAAGGAACACGTGGATGTCATCATTGATTTTATGCTACACACACATGATGCTGGTGTTTTGAAAGTTTGACACACTGCCTAGAGCTCACTCCGTTGTATTTTCCATTTGATTGACTTGAGTTTAAAAAGCAACCGTATATTGGTAAGCAAGATATGTGCTTTGATTTGGTGACGTAGGGGTGGTTCGTTTCTTTTCTCTTTCAGGGGGATGTTTCTGGATACGATTCTCCCCTCCCGCGATGATAATGGCATACGTCCCGCCATCGGTCAACGCACGCGTTTAAGTAAAGGAGATATTGCACAGGCAAGAAAGCTGTATCGATGTCCAGGTATTGCTCTCTGCAAACACAGGCACGTGGCTGAGCTGGGCTGTGCTGGGCTGTGCTGGGCTGTGCTCTTGCTGATGGACAAGCCATGGTTTACCCGGCTGTTTACTTGTCTCTCTCCTTGCTGACAAGTGACATGCAAAGTTCCAAGCAATCATGGGATGAGCGAGGAGGGAACTCTGGGATACTCATCGCTACAAATCAAAACAAGCTGTTAGAATTCAGATTTCAAGAGCTGGGGCAATACGCATTGTTTTCTTTTAATTTCATGAGTAAAAGAGCAAATAGAATGGTTATTTGATAGTTACTAAGGAGTTGCATGATTTTCTAATCAAGTGCTGAGTTTCCTTGCCAATAGAGAAAGAATATCCTTTATTTGAACTGCAAAATTGGTTCCTGAATGACCTTTTCTTTCAAGTCCCTTCCTTAATGGTATATACATGAAAATTTTGGCAGTAGGTATTTATAACCCTGCTCAAAAAAAAAAAAAAAAGTTCTCACGAAGTTACTGGTGAGCCACTGTGTATTTTGCTACTGAATGAAATTTTGAAGAAAGGATGAATGAAAGAGTCTTGGTGATTGTTTGCAGCCTTGTCGCTTTCCGTTGAGGAAGCGTGTGTTGTTTTGTTTTTGTTTTCCTCTTCATACTATTTGCTGAACTCTTTTACTTAGTGTAGGGTTAGCTATACAATCACCAAGTAAACTGAAAGTAAATCTTTGTAAAAATTAAGAGTGGGAATGTGAGAGGGAAGAGGAAGGGTTGGAGCATAGCGGGGTGGGGGGTGGGGGGATGTGTCACTATGTTCCTAAGTCTGTATATATGAAATACATGAACCTTGTATAACTTAAATACAATTTTAAAAAATATATTTATAAAACAAGAATATTCTAAGGGAACTCCAGTACATTGATGGTTCAAGGAAGAAAAGGGATTCTGCTGCAAATTTGCTATGTTGTGAGTTCTGTTCACATCCTGAGTACTGATCATCTTTGAAAGAGCAGACGTGAAAGATTCAATACAGTTTTCCCAAACTAAATTTCCAAAGAAACCCCCTTTACCTAACACTAACAGCATTCACATTTGGAAATATTTCTAGATCACTAAGGTTGCAGAAGGTAAAATAACTATAACAGTTTTAATTTCCTGCTAGTTTAATAATGTTTGCAGATTATCAGGGGTGTAATGGTTATATTCATCCCTGAAAATTTACCTTGATGTTGTTTATGTATTGAGTGATAGGGAAGCTCTTATGTTCATTACACTTATTACGAGTCTGGTGTGAGTCTGGGAAGATATGCCCTCAGGGGATAGGAGAAAGCAAGCTGATTCATTCACAACAATTTAATATGTGCTCCTTGACATATGGGGTAGTATGCTTTTGTTGAGCAGTTCAGGTTTCAGATGCAAGCAAGAAAAAGTGAGTTGGCTGGATAGTCACAGGAAATAGCTAGGAAGTTGGTCATTCAGTATGATGTGATTATTTAATTCATTGATTCAGCCTGGTGAATTTAGTAAACATTTCTGCTGAGAAAAGAGGTTTCCACTCCCTCAAGATCAAATTGGCTACAGTAAATTATAAGATATTACGGCTTTCCCAATTATCTTGTAATGGTTCATTTTCTTCTAATTTAGGTCTATTAAGTTTTCAGAAGGACAGTTAACTTTTTTTTAAATGCAAAGTTTATTTAAGGCCTTTTACATCTTAGTGATTCAATACTGAAAGTAAGTTTTAAAATTTTTTCTTTTGTACATAATCCTATCTGTAGCCATCTGACTGCTTACCTACAGAATTTTGCCCTGTATCTAATAATACTTAGTATTCATAGATTTATTTACATCATGAATACTTAAATTGGATTCATACTTGTATAAATATCTTTTAAATGTTTTATGTAGGTTTATAAAATATACAGGCACATGCAGTATTTCTTTAATTTTTTTAAATTCAGATTTCCATAGGAAAAACACACTTGTAAGAGAATGGCACCACTATGAAAAAGTCAGCGGTGATTCTTGACTAATTTCTAGCAACATTTAGCGTGTGATGTTTTTAATCTTTTAGAAAGAGAAAGGTTTTATGATTAGTAGCAATTAAATAACTGACCACTTTGCCTGTAAACAATTTTGCTTGTCTCTCTCCATGTGTGCATTCAGACATCACACTTAAAAATCACACTGGAGATTCATTTGAGCATTAAATTGGAGGAAAGTTAATATGAATCAAAAATAATCAAATTGTATTAATTTAAATTTCAGCCAGTGACTCTTAAATATTTCCATTATTAACAGAAAGAAAATTAGAAGTGTGGTTTCTAATTGAGATTTTCATGATATAAATGCACAAATGGGTCATTTTCTTATTCAAAACAGAGTAAATATTCATGTATACATTGCTTTATTTAACATAGTAAAAGCAGTCATGAAAGTACTCTTCTCTGTGACAAAAGATGTCTGTATTTCTAAAGCAGAATTAAAAGCCAGTTGCTGTTATAGCTTATGAATTACATGGAGTAAGGGAAAGTTACGGGATTTTTTTTTTTTGAATGAAGATAAATTAGCTTTTAGTTCGCCAAATCTTTTAGAATGACATTTTTTCTCAATTCTCACTGAACAATTCTCCCCCATTGTTTTCCATTTTTCCTTCTCTCTAAATTTCTGCATCCGTCTGTCTCATTTCCTAATGTAGTTAAATTTAAACCCCACACATTATATTTAAAGTTTTCCATCCCTTAAGTGGGGAGCACCGCTGGTGATTAGGACAATGGCAGTGGTGTCTGTAGACTCACCATACACCAAATGAAGTTCAGCAGCATCATCAATGGAATGAGGTGAAAGATACATGATTATACACAGAAGTCTAAATAGGACAACTTCCTTTTTATTTTAAAGAATCATTTATTTATTTGAAAAGCTGAGTCACAGAGAGCAGAGGCAGAGGCAGAGAGAAAGAGAAAGAGAAAGAGAGAGAGAGAGAGAGAGAGAGAGAGAGAGAGAGAGAGAGAGAAAGTAAGTTAGTTCTCCATCCATTGGTTCACTCCCCAGGCAGACAAAATATCTGCAGCTGCACCAATCCAAAGCCAGGAGCCAGGAATTTCTTTCAGGTCTCCCACATGGGTGCAGGGGCCCAAGGACTTGGGACATCTTCTGCTTTCCCAGGCCATAGCAGAGAGCTGGATTGGAAGTGGAGCAGCAGGGTCTCGAACTGACGCCCATATGGGATGCTGGTACTACAGGCGGCAGCTTTACTCGCTAAGCCACAGTGCTGGCCCCAGGACAACTTCTTTAAGGATTACATAGGAGGAGATTAAGACTTTACGAGGTTGGGATGTTGTTTAGGGTGCAGCAGGTTAAGCCGCCGCCTGCAGTGCCAGCATCCCATATAGGCACCGGTTTGAGTCTCAGCTGCTCCACTTCAATCCAGCTCCATGCTAATGCACCTGGGAAAGCAGTGGAGGATAGCCCAAGTACTCGGGTCCCTGCACCTATGTGGGAGACCCAGAAGAAGCTCCTGGCTTCAGCCTTGCCCAGCTCTGGTTGTTGTGACCATTGGGTAGTGAATCAGTACAAGATTTCTCTGTGTCTCTCCTCTCTATATAACTCTGCATCTCAAATAAATAAATTAATTTAAAAAATTCACAAGGTTGCCCAAAGGAAATGAAATCAGCATTTGAAAGAGTTATCTGTACCCCATGTCTTTGGCAGCTCAATTCACAATAGCTAAGATATGGAGTCAACCAGATGTCCATTAGCTGAGGACCAGATAAAGAAATTGTGATACACACCCACACACACACCCACACACACACGTGCACACACACACCCACACACTCACACATACACACAGTATGGAATACTACTCAGCCATAAGAAGAATGGAGCCCTATCTTTTCCAGCAAAGTGGATGCAATTGGAGACCATTATGCTTAGTGAAATGTCAGTTCCAAAAGACGAAATTATATGTTTGCCCTTATTTGTGGTAACCGATTTATATGGAGTACAAAAAAATGTTATGTGTATGAGTGAATTTGACATTTTGAGATGTGATTATTGTTTATAACCCTTGTCTATATTCTTGAGGAACAGTGTTTTTTTCCTGCTTCTACTTGTCGAAATTTTTATTTTAGTAGAGGATTAAGCTTGTGATTAAAAAGTAAATGGAAAGTATCTCATTGTAAAAATTAAAAGAAAAATAAGAAAGGAAGAGGGGGAGGGGGAGAATGAGGGAGGGAAGGAGAGGAGGGTGGGAAATGTAATTATGCTCTTAAAAGTGTGTATATGAAATGCATGAAATTTGTTCCCTTGAATATAAATAAAAATGATTAAAAAAGAGTTTACAAGCTGAGATCTGGTTGTGCCTTGGTTTTAATACGGAAGAAGGCGGTTACCAACTTTGCAGCTTGTCTTATCCTTACTGTTTTACTAGAAATTGCTGGAATATAGAGCCAGCAAAGTGAATTTCGCTGCTGTTTATGCCAACTTTTTCCTCTTTGTTTTATGTTCAGAGCTCTATTAGATGTGCATTTTACAGAGCAATTCTTAGAGCTTAATTTTGAAAGGAATATTGACCTAGTAAAGCAGATAGATGGACAGTCTGTCATAGAGGACCTGAATCCTCACAGGCATGTTTCTAGTAGGCAAGCTGCAAATACTGTTCACCGGTCTTAAATATTTGAGAGAAATTATTTTAAAATTTATCAGGACATGCGCAGACTTAGAAATGCATATATTTAATTTCCTTAAAATAGTACTAACTTATTTCAGAAACTTATAGCTGGTACTTTGCAATCCACTCTTGCATTTTTTTCTATTTGTGTTTGCTGTCATATAAAAATATGAAATCCCAGTTCCTTATTGGACGGTCAGCCCGTCCTCATACAAAAGGTCAGAGTACAGGAATAAACTTGGCTTTCTGCACTGACGGTCTGAGGATAAGTTTCTTGTAGTTTCGAATTGTTCATTGCCATTTCTGGCTCCTGGCTTTGGAGATGGACAAGACGGCCTG